AATTGCTGGGTTTGTCCCTATTTTACCCAGCACTGGGTTGTATTTAACCCAACATTTTTTAGAGTGTAATGTCCAAACCGTGAGTCTAAATGCATTTAGGACAAATAACATTTAAATGATCCAGTTATTTGCTACCATTTCTACTTGGACATATTACATATATCAAATCAATTTGGGTAATACATTTTCATTTTAATTTCGCAACTTATAAAGTGTTAAATTAGTATGTAATATTAAAGCTACTGTTGGAAATGGCAAATGTAAATTATATAATTACATATTCATATGCCTATTAAAATGTACATTTAAATACAGAAATACATTTCCATTTTGAAAATTGCATTACCATTTTGCATAGGCTATTAGGCTACATTTTAAATTGAATTTTACTACCTCTATGCTTCATACTTTACACGACTTCCAGTAATGGTTAGAGAGTTGGACTCATAACCCAAAGGTTGTGAGTTCGAGTCTCAGGTCCGGCAGGAATTGTCGGTGGGGGGAGTGAATGTACAGCGCTCTCTCCCACCTTCAATACCACGACTGAGGTGCCCTTGAGCAAGGCACCGAACCCCCAACTGCTCCCCGGGCGCCGCAGCAAAAATGGCTGCCCACTGCTCCGGGTGTGTGTTCACGGTGTGTGTGTGTGTGTGTTCACTGCTGTGTGCGATGGGATAAATGCAGAGCACTATGGGTCACCATACTTGGCCTCATGTCACGTCACCTTTAAATGACCAGAAGCTGGCGCAATTGACCACAAATGACATTTAGACTAACGTAGCCTATTTCATGGAAATAATTATATTAAGTGTTTTACATGCGGCGTACTAACGTTATATTATTAAGTAGGCTACTCATAAAACGTCAATACGCGTGTTGCATATGCATGTCACGTGTATTTATTTGATATATTTATTCTATTATAATATATTTTAGGCAATATCATTACTATGCAATAACGATAATGCAATACGTTTTCTCAGCAATCAGCAAAACAATCAATAACTGCTTTCAACTGCAGACAACAGCTCATTAACTGTGAAATGATATGGCACGACTTCGATTTTCCCATTCTCCTCCTTTTTGCCCCCCACACCCACCCAAAAACATGAGGTCTCGCCCCGCCTTCGGGGTGGTCTGTGATCGCAAACCCTAGAAACCTCCTTTGGCGAACTACGTGCTTCTGTTACCAACAATCCATCAACTTCATCCGCTGATTTCCGTGCAACTCCGAACAACACATGCGTGGTGAGCTGCCTAGAGACTCTTCATTACGTCTGCAGCAGGCTCTTTCAGAGTGAGTTTCTCCAAGATGAAGCTCAAGGCACATGCGTCCTGTGGGTTTGTGAAGACGAGCGCTCGTGGTAAGGCTTTTAGCAATACATTCACTGTGTTCGCCGCGCGCGCTTCAATGTAACAGCTGAAATTCGAACATTCGAATGGCGTTGCGATTACAGCGGATGCAATGTTTCATCTGTTGATCATCGCAACTTTTCTGAATGCGTACAGTTGCTCTGATTGATACATGCATGATAGAGCTGTTGGTGTAATGTTGTTGTCCCATCTGTTGCGAATTCATCATGACATGTGTGCATGAACGTGGATATTTCTGATTTATGTTGTGTTATCGAGTGGTGGCACGCTGATATTTGGGTTGGAATCTCTCACGAGATGCCAATGTTAGCCTACTAGCATCTTCTGTGGTACGACTACTACTTCTTTTTTTTTTTTCTTTTTTTTTTGAGGTACTTGGAGGTATAGAAGTCTAAAAAGACTTTGATTCTCCCTTTATTTTAAACTAATCATTTTGATGAAATCTCAGAAAAGCCCTTGGCTACAGATTACTGTGCCATGCATAGCTGTTGTACTGTAAATGTCATGGAAATATCAGGCATTTGTTATTTTCCTGGCTTGGGAAAGTCATCAACTTGCAGGAACCCCATAATAATGGATCTTTGTAATATAAATGGAATTGTTTTTGCATTGGTTTAATTTGTTTTTGTACTTTTCTTTTAACATTTTCAATCAAAAAATATGATTTAATGACTCTGAAAATCTAAAAAGTGGCCAACCAAAAAGTTAACTATATTGCACCATGGCCAATATTTAAATTCTATACTATTTTGTCAAAAGGAAAAATGAAATCAATAGTTTTAAAGTTTACAAGCAAATTTGGGCATCCTGACATCAAGTATGAAAGACATTTATAAGTATAGAAAACTACTATTTTGTCTAATAAAACAAGTGCTATTAAATTATTAGTGTTTTAAAAATGAGCTTTAATTAAGTGCAAAATGAAAGCAAAACAGTTTACGATAAGGTTCAATTCATTTCATACATTTAAGTAGTATAAAGAAATATTTGTTAATGTATTATGAACACACTTGAATTACCTGAACAATAGTATATTCATAAAATAACATTAACCTAGATTATTACATTCTCAAAAAAAATGGTTAATTTCTAAAATAATTGTTAATTTGTTAAAAACATTAACTAATGTTAATAAATTAAACCTGATTGTAGGGTGTTATAATGATGAAAATGTAAAAATAGGCATGCACAATTAAATTAAATTGGCTGGTAAATTAAAAAAAAAAATTTTGTATTCAATGCATTCTAATTTATATTTGATTAACTTGGAAAAATGAAAGAAAAAAAATCATAAAAGGGCGCAATGTACTGTATTAAAGTGCCCCTGTTATGCCATTTTTACGGTTCCTTATATTATTTTGGGAGTCTCCTACAATAGGATTACATGCATGCAAGGTCAAAAAACGCTTTCGTTTTCTCAAAATATGCATTTAATATCACCTCATTTTCCAGCGTTTCTCTAACGATTCGTTCGAAGCAGTTCAAAGATTCGGTCTCTCTAAACTCCTCCTTTCCGTGAGCCTGCTCTGCTCTGATTGGTCAGATGGCTTAGTCTGTTGTGATTGGTCTACGGCGTACAGCGCGTTTCGGAAACGATACGCGTATTTCAATAGTTCTGTATTTTGAACGCTCTATAGAAAATATAAACATCTGTTATTTATCATACTTACAGGTTGTGATTCAGTGGAGCAGCTGGTCCAAATAAACAAGATACTGATCCATCTTTCAACAAACATAGGCGGGCATTATGCAAATGCGTTACCCCATGACGTGTAGCCGTCACGGAAGTGGGATTTGAATTACTAACGACTTGTTTCAGCTGTTCAGAGTCAATTCTTTATTTTGGGAGACAATAACTTTATTTATCGTGCACTTTCAGCTTTACAACTTTGCAGATCGTTTACATTCACATATAGCTACATTACACACTGTATGAAAGGCAATATCGGAAATGGCATAGTAGGGGCACTTTAATATGAAGGAATTTTCTGTATTGATTCTTTTTTTTTAAAGGGGTCATATGATGCTTTTTTAAAGATCATTATTTTGTGTATTTGGTGTAACAGAATTGCTCTCTTTCTCGCTCTCTCTCGCTCTCTTCTCCCTTCTTTCTTTGCGTGCACATTTGGGCGGCATTGGCCGGTAGATATGTGAGGGTGTGTTAGAACGAGCCGTTTTAGGGGGGTGTGGCAGAGTCTTAACTTTGATAAAGAATATCTCTTTGGATTTGAGACTTTAGTCTTTGCAACTTCAGGGATCTTATCTATGCACAATCAGCTTGTAACACTCCAAAGAGAAAGGAAAACTTGAAATCGCATCATATGACCCCTTTAAAGTTTGCACTTTATTGCATTGTGTTTTATAGTTAGCAGAAATGTGTTTTATAGTTAGCAGAAATGTCTGTAAAATAAATGGATAATTTGATTTCCTTGCAGAAAATTACTAGTACATTTTCTGTTATTTATTTATTTGACAGTGTAGTTCTGGACTGAACGTCACATTATTTACCTCTTGTATCTTACATAA